GGATATAGGATAAAAGGTCTAATTCTTCCTCACCCCCCCCCCCCCCCCCCCCCCCCCCCTAAACTCGGTCAAATCTCAGCCGATTTCCATAAAGCTTCTAAATCCGACAACATTTTTCTGGCAACATTATTCTTGTATGTATATATATTTAGGTATATATGTATATATATATATATATACAGATGTTTCCAATTTAATCAAGTTCCTGTTCTTAACACACTCTTGATAGGCATGGCGTGGCATGGCGTTGCCACCTAGTTTGAAAGTGTTGTCTGAATGTTTAGATAATCGTAAATTAAATGCGCGGCTTTCGTATTGTACTTTCAACTTGCTGGCACAAGTTTACGAATTTCTTCAAGCAACTTTCACCCACGCTCTCCCCCTCTCTCCCCCCCTCTCTCTCTCTCTCTTTGACACTCTCGCCCTCTTTCTCTTGTGCCCATTAAATGAGCGCAGCTGAAAACCAAAAAGTTTGCCATTTTATCGTTTTACATAGCAAATCCCACTTCAGGCTCAGTCGTATCCGAATCCTTCCATCCCCCGACTGACTTCTGCCACCCCCCCCCTCTCTCCCCTCTTGTCGCGGCCCCCTATCGAATTGTTGGCCGTCAAGCAAACGCCCGTTGGCCATAAATCAAGCGGTTGCCCACGCGTCACAAGTGTCTGTATACAATGCACACTCAGTACACGCCTCCCTCCCCCCCCCCCTCCCCCCACTCACCCACCTACCCCCTTTTACCTCGCGGACCATCTGCAGCAATGTGCCACGCCCATAAGCTTGCAGCTGTCCACACGACCTAATAAAATAGCCGTTAGGCGCAAAACAAGCCAAACAAATGAAATGCGGCTAACAAAATGATTTCAATTTTGTATGTGTGTGTGTGTGAGTGTGTGTGTGAGTGTGTGCGTGAGTGTGTGTGTGAGTGTGTGTGTGTGTGTTGCATGCTGCCTCAGCAGCTGCTTCCTCTAAACTTAATATAATGCCGGCTCTCAGTGCTGCATGAACTGTAAAGTTTGAGCTGCAGCTGATGCCGGAAAACGAAGCCGACTCTCAAATGCCCTAAGATAATTAATAATGTATTACATTATATATGAGCTATATTTGGGGAACAAGCATTTTGTATCCAAACGATAAACATATTAAAAAAGTAAAAAGTTAGGTATTTTCGGTACGCCGAAGAGTTAATACCCTTTTAGAAATCGCACCGAAGTGATTCAAGATAATCACATTTCACATTTAGGCTAGATTCAATTTCAATGCGTATATTTTCATTTAGAATCATTGCCAACATTTTGAATGAGCTGCATTCCACTCGGTGACATCCTTTTGTTGGCAAAATAAAAAACTAAAGTTATCTTGAGCTGAATATGCAAATGGAACTGAGTAGAACATTCACTTGTCATTCAATTCAATGTCAATTCACAATCACAATCACATTTTTCACATATCACATTTTGTTAAATGAATGACAGTTTGCCAGTGGAACGCGCCGTCATTCGGTTTGTCACAATTTGCAATTCTTTTTTTTTTCTTTTGTGACTAATCAAGTATTTGAATTCAAAGTATGAAAGTGCAATACACACACACACACGCGCACACACACACGCACACACACACACACACACACACACACACGCATTTTATTATGCAAATTCTCATGTAGCTGCGTCGAGACTCAGCAACAAAAGCTGCTTGCTTTGTCACCCCCAACTCCCCAGGCTGCAACTGCTCTTCTTACCAGGTTGTAGGTACCCCCTGCCCCTCCCCCTCCCTCACCCTTGCACTTCTCTCCCACTTTGCATTGCAAGCCGGAATTTATTTTAATTTTTAGCCCGAGCGCGCGCAACTCTTTTATTTACATACCTTTAATTTGTATTTGTTTTGCACATTAAAAATTACAGTTAAGGGCCTTGTGTAGGGTTAGCCAGAGGGGTAGGGTGAGCGGAGCGGGGGGGCTTGCAGGGCAAATGCATTTCGTTTCCATGCAAATGCCAGCGACTGCAGCTCGAGCTGAGGCCGTCGACGTTGACAATGAAAATGCGCGTTGGTCCGCAGGTAGCAAAGGTGTGAGTGTGTGTGTGTGTGTGTGTGTGTGTGTGTGAAGGTAAACTTTGCCTGCCAACAAAACTCACAGCCAAAAAGACGCAGCCCGAGGCAAAGGAGACAAAACAAAAAAAAAAAACAAAAAAAAAAAAATACTAAAATTTTGTTGTCAGAAGAGGGTTAAAGTGTGGTGTTGAGTGCGCGGCTCGATGGGGTTAAGAGCTGCGGGGGCGTGCATCGCTCCCACCGTTATCCGGGTTCTACGGACTACCGGGTACTTGCAGCTGTGAAATTTGCATAAGCAATTACGAAAGCGTTGCCAAGACACAAGCAGCCAGCAGACAGGGGGATGGTGTGGGGTAGGGGTAGGGTTAGGGGGGCATGGTGCTTGTGTGTGGGAGTAAGCGAGAAGTAGCAAAAAAGGCGAAGAGGAAGCAGAGCGCAAGTCAACAATGTCGCCAGCGCAGCGACGTCTCTGCTTCTGCTTGCATCCAGTCTGCGACTGATGTGGTCTGCGGATGATGGTTGAGTTAGGGAGGTGGGGAGGGGGCAGGCGAATTGAGTCTCTTCTTTTTTCTTTTAGGGTTAGGCACGGGAGGGGGGGCATTGAGAGACGCCGGTTTTAGGATGCTCGCTGGCTAAGTGCGTTGCACAAATTTGCATCGACAACAACTTTGTTGCACCTGAGTCAAAGCTACGAAGAGGAAGAAGAAGCAGTAGCACAGGGTTGCAATTGTTAACCTCAAAATGTGCGCAGACAGTAAAAGCAATTATCAGAAATATTACGTCTAGAAAAACATAAAAATAGTAAGAGATCAAAAATAAAAGTAGAAGAAAAGTGTAAAGAGAGAAGAGAGAAAAAGTAAAAAGACAAACATAGGCAAATGTTAAAGTTAAGCTTAAGAAGAAGAAACAACAGCTAAACAATTCCTTAAAGTAACAGCAGCAAAAAGGTTTATTAGAAAAACACAATTAATGAAGCACACATACACATACATATACATACACATATTTAACGGCAGTCTTACGTAATGTGCACAAGATAAAGAGGAAGCAGCCGCAGCAGCGCTTGACGTTAATTTCTTACGTAGCGCGACATGCATGCGATATTGCGGCACTATCGTTAAGTGGAAATCTTGAATGTCAAATCTTAACTACCATCCGTTTCGATTTCTAATGGTTCTCATTTAACTGTTGTTTTTGCTGCTGCTGCTGCTGCTGCTGCTGCTGCTGCTGCTGCTGCTGGTCTGTCGCTCATTTAAGAAGCAACGGAAAATGCCGCAAAAGCAAAAGGCAGCAGCTTTTGGGCAGAGGGGTTGGGGGCGTTCACGCGCAACGGATGGAGTTTTAGTTTTATGGGCGAGAGCGAACGTTGACCACAGGCACAGGCAAAAGTCGTGTTCCGCTGCCCTGTTGTCCCATTGCAAAACGGAGCATACCGTTTCTTGGCAACAGTATGTAACAGTGCATAGCTGAAAATGCAAATGCTTTTTACAGGGTAACAGCGAGTCGAGCGCACTCTTGTTGTTGGGCATTGCCTATGGGGTGGTTAGATTGGGCTGAGCATTTGTGTAGCTGTTGTTGTTATTGCCAGGCAGCTGCTGACGCTGCATATGTGCAATAAGAGAGAGAGAGAGCATGAGAGAAAGAGAGAGAGCGAGAGGGCAAAGAAGCAGAAATGCAGCAACAGCAGCAGCAGCAGCAACGGCAGCTGCTGCCAAAGGGGGTGGACATAGCCTAGCCCCTATGCGCCTTTATGCCCATATCTATGCAACGTAGGCAGCTGCAAAATGTTTGTCATTGTATTGCACCAACACGCATGCACACACACACACACACACACACACGCATGCACAGCATCAACTGGTCATTGTTGTTGTGGCTGCTGCTGCACGCACTCATACATATATGCAGGGACTAATCAACATGGCTGAGCACTCGTTCGCTTTCTCGCTCTAACTGTAACTCACACACACGCACTCACACAGAGAGTGTACACAGCGAATTCGACAGTTGAAATCGCTTTGCACGTTTAATTGGCTGCGTCTGCCAATCAACACGAATCGTTGCCGCGTTCGCCCTGCTTCTTCGTTTTTTTTTTTTTTTTTTTCTCTCAATGCAATTGCAGTCACCGTCGCAGTCGGAGTCGCATTTATATAGCAGTCAGCTGCTGCTGCTGCACCCGCGCACCCGCTCGCCCGTTCGCCCGCTCTCCCATTGAGTCGATTAGGCGCCTAATGAGCGCGCACTAACACAGTCGCACTCGAGCGCAATTGCCAAGCTCTAGCAACAAGTTTGAAGCGGCGCCGCAACAAGTTTTGAGAATTAACAAGTAAGAACGACTGCCAACGACTGCGCCATACTCTATTAACAGTGTAAGTCGACCGAAAGAAGTTTACTCTTGACATCAACTGACTGTAAACCCCAAGCAGTTGCCTTCCAAAGCAGTTGGCTTCCAACCCAACCAAGCCAAAATACCCGTTGTCACTTTGTGTACAGTGTATAAAGTGCATTTCATTTTGCCGCAAAGCTTAGCACACTTTGCTGCCAATTCAATTTTCGCCCCCTGTTAGCGGCGCGCTGTTAATGCAAATATGTAAAAATTGCTGCAAAAATGTGTATATCTTACATATGTTTATTTAAAAAGCAAATTTAAAAGTGCGTTCGAACCAAATTATGTTTTTATGCAAATTTCAACTATTCAAAAGAAAAATAATAATAATAAAAATTGCAATCACGCTGCCAATATCAGAGGCGATAAGCGAATTGCTAATTAAAACATGCACAATAAACGCAATTTCACAACATGCCCTCCCCACCCCTCTTTGCTGTTGCCCTGGTCAGTGCAATTTAACGGCAATTTATTATACATTCACATTATGCATATATACATATATATATATATATATTAATTTTGCTCTCTTTATTTTCGCTTTCTTTTTCGCACGCCTTTCAGATCGCCATCAGCAGCGCCGTCAACGTCAGCGTCAGCGTCAACGCTGTTGTCGCCAGCTAACGGACACAGTTCGAAGTGAGCAACAATTACAAGAACAACAACAGCACGAACAAAGCGCCCTCTGCCGCTGCAGCAGCAGCAGCAACAACAACAACAACAACAATTCATAATAAACTTCAGCCCAGCGGCGATTTGAAGCAGCGCCCGCGGCGCCCTTCTCAAGTTTTTGTTTTCAATTTGGATTCGCCTTTGGCTAAGAACGTCAGCGTTGCGTTCGCTGCAGCAGCAAAAACAGCTGGTAAGTTTTTAACACCCCCCCCCCCCTCAATCCCTTCTTAAACCATTCCTTCGCACTTTGCGAACTCTTCTTACGCATTACATACACTGCAATTTCCCATTACATTTATCTTAATATATACATATATATATATCTCTATATATCTCTATATATAGCTTTATAGTTTAACAGCACTTTACTTTTAATTGCGCCCTCACCCCCTTACCAATTCCCCCCTCCCATCGAGCCCTCTTGAAAAAAAAAAAAAACTTTGCTGTCAGCTCGCAAAAATTTCCTTTCTTTAAAATTTCCTTTTGCATATGCCCTTCCGCGTCAAGCATATGCATTTTAGTAAGCTGTTTGCGTATATTTTTTATTAGCATTATTTTTGTATCTACAACTAACTTGGCATATATTATATGTTTATTATTAATCATAGCATAAATATCATATATGTACCTCCTAAGTTTCTCTGCTGCCTTCAACTTGAAAAGTTATAAAATTTACTTATAACTGTTCTCTTATATTATTTCGGGCATATTCGCTAATGATTTCTTTCGTGTAGAACGATCGAATAACTGCTCCCATATCATCTTATATCAGGACTTCTACACTATTTGGCAACCCTGTACAACTCTTTGGGATATTTTTGGTGCGCATGTTGGTATGTAAGTATGTATGCATGCATGCATGTATGTATGTATGTATGCATGTTTGTATGTATGCATGTTTGTACGTATGCATGTATGTATGCATGTATGTATGTATGCATGTATGTATGCATGTATGTATGTATGCATGTATGTATGCATGTATGTATATATGCGTGTATGTATGCATGTATGTATATATGCGTGTATGTAAGTATGTTTGCATGTTTGTGTGTATGCATGTTTGTATGTATGAATGCATGTATGCATGTGTGGATGTTTGTAGGTAGGTATGTAGGTATACAGGATTGTAGGTGTGCATGTATGGATGTGTGTGTGCAGGGATGTATGTTTCTATGTATGAATGCACATATGTATGTCTAATGTGTGTAGGCATGTATGTATATTGGTATGTACAACTTCTTTTTTAATCACGCTATATAACACTATATTAAAATATGGATTATGTTTATCATATTTTCTGGAGTATTCTTATGAAAGATCGTGATGTATTTCTCTTTGGACGGACATATCATGTACCATTATCATATACTATTATATACATATATAAATATATGAGTATCTAGGTATTTTTGTAGTTTTCTCAAATAGATAGAACCAGCTTTAGGATATTTCCAAGTTCGACTGTCTACACGCTGCACTTTTCGTCCATTTCTTTGGCATATTTTTTTTTGCTGCTGCTCTGTTTTTTCAGTTTTCACTTTATTTTCTTGGCCTTTTCTTTTTTATTCCTCCGTTATGCACTCTTCAAAGTTCTTCAATCACTTCGTGGCAGCAATTTTCATTCGAATTGGAAATATCAGCCAATTGACCGCTTCCCTCCCCTCCCCCACCCGCTCCTACCGCTCGTCCTGCCACCATTTCCGCCCCGTCGCGCTGTCCCTTTTGTTGGCACTTTGCGCTGTTTGCGCCGCCGGCCAAAAGATTTTCCCAATTTATTTTATTGCTCGTGTTGCTGTTTGCATTTAGCTTTAAATTAATTCATGCCCCCAAGTATCTTTTGTAGTTGTGTGCAGTTGCCCCTCCCCCCTACCAGCCTCTACCAGCCCCTCCCTCTGGATGCCGACCGTGCTCCTTTGTGCCAGGGGCAGAAATGCCTTTGATGTAGATTGGTGTTGTTGTTGGTCAATCGTCGGCAACCTCAAATGCATTTTTCCTGAAAAAGAGATAAATTGTAATTAAATGAATGTCTGCATAAATATTAGCAAATATCTATTGATTGACCTCAGTCATGATTGAGATGACAATAACAAAAGTTTTGCACTTTTTGTTCGGACTGAACGAATCTTGTGAATTGAGACTTGCTTTTGATCGGGTAATTGTGCTTGTTATTCGTTTTTGTATTTTATTTATTTCATTATACAACAATTTTTATCATCAATCATTAGATTGAGCTGTCGAAACTTTTAAACAATGCACTTCGTTGTGCATAAAATGAATGTACAAAATTGAGACAAAAGGCTTTGTAATTACTTTAAATATTCCGTGCAATTTGTTTTCGTATTCGCTTTGCCCAAATTGATTGCCATCAATCACGATTGACACGCAGCGGAATAAAGGAAATGAAACGCATTCAGACTAATTGATTGTAAGTTTTGATTTATTTCTTAAATATTTCTTGAATTTCTTTAAGGTTCACTTGAACCAACAGCAACTGCAGCTGTTCTTTTTTGTTCTTTTCAACTGGTTCATTTGAACTGAGCTCAGTTCTAGCTGATTCGACCTCAACTCACTTCCAACTGTTGTCTGTTGTTCATCTATTAATATTAGTTCATCTGAATTGAGCTTAGTTCCAGTTCCAGTTCCAGTTCAAATTGCGCCTTGAAATTCATTTCTTCATTTTCACTGATTCACTTGATCTTATTCATTTGAACTGATTTCTGTTGCTAGATTTGAACTAAACTCAGTTCTAACTGAAGTTGCCTAAATTTCCCATCTAATAGTACTAGTTCATCTTGTGAACCAAGTTCAGTTCCAATTCCAGTTCCAGTTGCGCTTGAAACTTTGACTTGCTTCCGAATCTGATTTCATTTTCTTTTCCCTGTTTTCTTTGTGTTATTAATTCCTTGCCGCATCGTTCGCTTTGATCCTTCGCTTTGCTTTCGAGCTGCTGCTCTGCTTCTTCTGCTATGCATATTTGCGTCTGGGCAGCGCACGTCGCAGCCAACCGAGGGTCCGTTTCCGGTTTCTGCTCACATGACCTTGAGTCGCAGTTGCCTGTTGCCGCTGCACCACGCCTTCAATTCGCCCACCAGCTCATTTGGAAGCGACAGACAGGCAAATGTTTTATGACTTCTCGCACGCCCACCCCCTTTGCCCCCTGCCTCGCTGGCCACACCCCCTCCCCGCTGACCCCCTCTCGGGTAAAAGGCCAAAAGTTGGCAAGGTCAAAGCCCAAATTGCGCTCATTTTCAGATCCATTTGAACAGGCCAAAAAGTTGTTTCGGTTGTTGCTCGACTGCGTGGCCTGCATTTAAAATATGTTCATTACAAAATGTTTGCCCCTTTACACACACACACACACACGCACACACACACACACACTCCAACACACACACACCCAGGAGAACCTTTAGCTGTTGGTTGCGCCTTTTGGCCTAGCACAACAATTTGTGTTTTTTTTTTTTTGGCATTTTATTAGTAAATTTATTTTGCAATCACACACACACACACTCACCCCCCCCCCCCCCCTGCGTGGGCATAGCTGGGAAAAACTATTTCCGGCATTAAATTGTCTCTCGGCTCCCTCGACATTAACCAATACAAGCCCTTGCCCTACACCCCCCCTCCCCCCCTCCTCCCACCACTCAACCTCTCAAACCCCTTGCAGAGGGGTTTGTGCTGCTGTTTGGACCATTTAAATGCTTTTTGCATTTACATCCACACACACACACCCACACACACACACTCACACACTCAAATATGTACATAGTTTAGTTGCATTTCGTTGGAGGGTGTGTGTGTGTGTGTGTGTGTGTGTGTGTATCGTCAATTGAGTGCTCTGATTTCTGTAGCTGATTTCATTTCGAATCGAAATTGAAATTGGAACTGTTTTTCGTTGGAAATTTAGTTGCTCGCCTTTCCATCAGTTTCGATTGCCACACACACACACACACACGCCCACACACACACACCTGCCCACACACACGTGTGTAAGTTTGTGCTTGTTGCCGTGCATACCCTGTAAACATGCATGAGAGCACACGGCAGCTTTGTCACCTGACATCTCTCCAAAAGCTGTGAACTGAGGAAATAAATGAACCACAGCATGCATGTTTATGATGTATGTGCTCCTAGATACCCTGGAATTCTGTAACTTCACTCATATTGTCTTTATTTCAGCCTTAGAGTTATTCAACATGCACATATATTTAGTTTAGTGGATAAATATATATATTATATATTATATATATATATATACCCCAGTTTTTTTTTACGTTTATTCTTTTTTCGATATAATTTAAGTTGGCCACAGACGAGAACCTTCACAACTATTTACAGGATATTTAAAATCCTTTTACAGGGTATTCTATACTTAAAACACATTGACAGGAAACTTTCAGCTAGTTCTAACTACATTATTGCATCAAAAAATTTTAAATATATTAACAGATATTTATAAAAATAAGATCAACTTTTTACATGGTATTTTTTAGTCGCAAACAACCATATAATCAGCATTTAGTATTTGGCCAATTTCCTTTGGCTGCAGCTAAATTACTTTGTCAAAGAAAGATCTGTCAAATAATATTTTCTCCAGGGTATCATTCAGTCGGGCAGCATTGATTTCAAGGCAAGATACGGCCAAGCAAAGCCAGCTTAAAAAATGCAAAATATTCAAATACTTGACCTTAAGTATTCTTTAATTTCTACAAAAAAACAACTTATTACAGGGTATTTGGCTAGTCTAAGACTAATAGGAAATGGCCTTTTATTCGGATTTCGCTTTCGCTTTTTCTTTTTTCTTATCTTGCAGCCAACATCTTAGACCCTGAGCGCGCAACCTTTTGATAAAGTTCATGAAAAATGCGACGGGCTATGGAAAATGCATAATTTATTCCCAGATTTTCAGAGGCGGAGTGTGTGTGTGTGCGGGTGTGTGTGGGCGGGTGTGTCTCTATATCGTGTATTGGTTAAATCGTGATGTTGTAATTGACCATTTTTATGGCCAGCTTGTCAGATAATTGCTTTTGGCTTAGAGGGGACGCTCGTTGGTTTGCGATGGTGGATGGGAAGATGCGGGGAAAGGGAGGGGTTTGATTGTGCGCGTTGGTTCGAATTGCGTTTTGTTGTTAATTTGCTTGCCACGCACGTGCCGAGCGCATTGTTCATGGGATTTACAAAAGAATA